GGAATGTCCTTACGTCCAAAACCTTACCTCCGAGCCCTCATCAAATTTTCAACATGGCATTCACGCGGCCGCAACCATTCCGTGTACATATTTCTCTCTCACGTGTGCGCGCAAACTTCCCCAAATAAAGTTCGGAACTTCTTTCAGATTAAGTGCGATCGCTCGCACGTGTGCAAACTTTCCCTTGACGCAAATCAAGGGAAGTTTATTAGGCACAATCTCTCTCTCTCTCGTTCATTACTTTGCTACGCCTATTTCTTATAAAATTATAGCTTAAAATAGACATGCAATTGGAGGAATAAGGATCTGAAAGAGAAAATTATAGGTCTGTTTTTTTATTCCTGCACCAGATACCCTATATTAGAACTCTTTCTCGCCTTCGTCAAATATCAAACATATATCGATCTCAAGTTCCAAAGGTGTACCTACTAGTATACCTACAGTTCAACCATAGAAAACAGATCTTATATTAACTTCAAATTTAGAATTAACGCTATGCATGAACGACATATCTCGTAATGGGTGAATTTTAAACAGATTATGTAAATGAATAATTCATAATATGTTTTGTCATATGTCTGGGAGAGGAATTGTCAGATATCAAGTAAAATGAAATGTAAAATATATATTACAAAGTTATGCCGGAATATTTTCATAATATTTTATCAAATATTGAGGAAAAGCTTTTTTCAAATATTTAATGTAGTTTTATTATAAATATTACTTATAACTGTATCGTAATATTCCCTTCACAAAACGACTTAATTTCATGCTTCAAAAGTACGAAAGGTTTTATACAAATTTAATGCAGCGTTAGATATTGGAGTTACAGAATTATATGAGTCTGCGATAATTTTTGTTCCTTTGTTATAATTAATTCCGCAGGAATAATAAGTCAAGATCACTATAGACGAGCTACCGGGGATCATATGAATATTTATTTCAGTTTTTCGATGCTTCACGCGTAGAACCAATAGGGAGTTTTTGCAATAACGTGAATCCAGATACGGTGAACGCTAAAGTCATGTTATCCTTTTCTTAATTAGTCATTAAGAAGAAGATAACCTGACTTTACCGTTCACCGTATCTGGATTCACGTTACTGCAAAAATTCCCTAATGTCTCTTAATAAAGGGAGTTCCTCGTTAGCTGGAAAATTATAGTTCACTTGGTTGGCTTAATATTTCATGAGTGCCGATACGTCTTAATTGTCGCCGTTGATGCTTATAAAAGGATGAAACAGGTCACTTCGGGTATGCAAAGTTTAATCGGGGGCACCCGCATTAATAACAAAGCCATCGAATCGTAAACGCGACATTAAATATTCTCGTACCATATACGTTATACTTGCATATTCGACTACCTGACATATTCGATATTCGTTGCACGGCACGAGATTTAAATATATCATTGAGACGAACACGTCTACGTGCGTATATGTCAGAGTGGAGGTGGATCGATACGGCGCGTAAGAGAACCATAATTTGCAGGGACAAAAAAGGAAAAAGAATAGAGGAAAAAACCTGTTATCAACATAGCCGTGATGCCTTCTTTATAAACGAAGAGGAAGGAAAACTCTCAAGATGTTACTCCTCGCATGAGCGAATTTTATTTGTACGAGTCAAGTCCTATTCGACGAACGCGAATAACGTTTTCGCGACAGTAATCCAGTCGCGTCGATACCGAACTCATTTACCCCTATCCGTACATTTAGAGGAAAGAAAGAGAGAGGGGAGATAAACAGAGAGTCCCTCCTGCGTGTCGGACATAAAGTCCGAAGTTCTGGAGCGCCTTCGATCGGGAATTCATATTTCATATGCCAGTCGCCGTATCCGTTCCAGAATGTGAAAGAGAGAGAGAAAGACGAGACGGGATCGTTCACGGCGCCTCTGAAACTCGGTCATCTATATTTCAAATCGTAGCGAGCAGTGGATAGATTATCGTCATTGAATGTGCGCGAGGAGAGCGCGTCCTCACCGTCGCGTCTCATTATACAAGGAGAAGTCGCCGGCGCGAGTCAGACGCAAAAAAGTTTCGCTCGCTCGCTCGCTCACTCGTTTACTCGGAGGGGAGAACGGCTCGTGAGAGGCGCTTCGCTTTGTGCGCACAACTTTCAGCTTGCCGTCCCGTCCATTTGAGCCCCTTGCGCGTCGTTTAATTCGCCGGGATTACGAACAACCGCAGCGTGACCGTTAATTATGACGAGCCGTATAGAAATAATGCCCAAGCCTTTTTCTCTCCTCAAAAGCACATAAACTTTTCGCGTGAGCCTCAAAATCCCGCCCGAAAAATATGGAGAGAAAAAGGTGAGCACCACCAATATCTGTTCATGACGTGACCCTACAATAAACGTTCGTAATCGTTGAGTTGGTAACCATAGACTACACGGAAAGTACAATTTTGAAATATCTAAAAATCTTATTAAATATAAAACTAAAATATTTTTGTTGGATCATCAAAATAATTACAATTAACGTTTAAAAAGAAGAGCATTAGGAGTCGATGCGATAAGCAATTGGCAAATTATAATAAAAGCTCTTTAATAATTCAACGAAATAGTACAGTCGCAAATCTTTACTAACCGTACGTTAAGTTTCGGTTCCAATAAAATAATTACAGTACAGATCGCTCTAATAATATTGCAGCAACATTGATCGGACCCGGGAAATTCGAAAGCACGGAGGATCGCGGAGAGGAAGAGGGAAGTGCCAGACAGGAAGCAAAAATTTCACCCGGATTTAATCCTCTCGCGAGCGAACGGCCGAGTGATCGGAAACAGGCAGGGTGAGAGAAACCAATTCGTTATCCTGGCGTAATGATCTCGCTGAGAGGATCGTCCCGTATTCCTGTTATTTTTGAATATTCAAACCTAAATTACGATTAAATTTCACTTTGCTGTTTGAATATCAAATATCCAGCAGCTCGGTTTGAGCAGATATGTGTTTAGTTCCATTACGCGATTACGTGTACATAGAAGTTATATATTATTTTGCTAAAATAACGAAATATTTAGCTATTAGATGCAGATCTGAAGATAATTTTGTTAGAACATCAAAACAATTATGTAGGAAATTCAAACAATTGATAACAACGCTGAAAAATGTTTTGACATTCTAGCCACCAGTTTGACTAGCCTACATAATTATTTTGATAGTTTAACAAAAATATTTTCAGATTTGTATCTAACTAAATTTTTAAATACTTCAGCAAAACCACACGGAAAAAAAAATATTTCTAGCCACAGCTAATTCTGATTAGCTGAAATTGCATTAACTAATATAGCTATGAAATTTGTTAATACATACAAAGGATTTACTGCTGTAGCTAATATAAGGACATGACAACAAAATATGCATGTCTGTTACAGTCAATTTATTTAGCAACATGAAATTAGTTGTCATAGTTATCGGATATGTCAGTGTAAAGGAAAATTGTCTTTATCACAGATAAATATGGTTTGCTGAAACTGTACTTGCTATCAAATAGTCTGCTACACAGAAAACGCTGCAATGATCAATATATCGACATAATAATAAAATGCTTGTCTGTTACAATGATAATATTTAGGCTTCACAACTAATGGAAATTAGACCTCGCAGACACGACGTTAGGTATCCATATAATATTACTGAATCCAGGGTTGGGAAATTTAACGCTGCGAGAGGTTTCTTACATTTCTTACGTATAAAAACGTATAAAACGTATATTATATACGTTAAAATTCTAAAACTCATCTTAGTGAGCACTGGTGAGCATTGTATAATTGAACCACTGGACCAATTAATATTCATCTTAAAGTCATTTTGATTTACATACCTTCTTATTAGTCTAGCAGCTCTATGCTAGGCTTATAGTGATATATGAGCTATGTTCCAAAATTGAATGCCTGTACTGAAAATCTATAGTGCACGTAACGTAAACTGTCGCATTTTCAGTGTTGGCAATAAATTTGGAACACAGTCATGGTATTCTTGGATCTGTTCGTATTGCTTGCACTTTTCCATTCAGCAACTTCGTTTTCGCTCTTTTCAACGCTCAAACATATATCTATCTCATTTTAAGTTAAAAAATTTGAGGATTTCAAGCAACGCGACACTGCAAAGTGCGAACGGTGAAGCGCCATTTTACTACATGGCTGAAACCTACGATATATTATACATAGTTTCATTCATGTATGAAACCACTCATAATACGTTGAGTTCGATACGTGCCCAACCCTGACTGAATCTATCTGCCATACCTAATATACCATAATTTTTAGCTGTGGCAGCTAATCTTTTCTTTCCGTGCATCCTTTCCCATACACGCGGAAGCTTGCAGCAATATTGCTGCAAGAATAATCTATACTGTATGAATTTTCACGTACTGTCTCATCAGATATTGCGATCACGGGAAAAATATATATTGTGTCTCAGCGCAAACGACAGACGATCATTAAAGAAAGTAATTGTTTCTCGTCACCGCGCGCCGTGAGAGATTTGTAGGAGAACTCGGCTTACGTATATACGTGTATCGTCTCTTGGCGGTGTAAACGGAAGAAGGCGAGTCTCTCCCTTATCTTTCCAAGCCGTTCTCTACTATATTACTTTCGTACGTTTCTTTTCCGCCGTGAGAATACGCCATATGCCGGCGGCCAGGGTAACGCGGACGGGCGCGCGACTTCCAGCATCGAGGTCGCGTGCGCGTAATCGTTCCGATTACCTTTGCTTATTGTTGCATTATGATGTAGGAAAAGTGCTCTTAATTAAGCGGTGCGTCCTAATTGATCTCTCCCGCGTGCACGTAGCGTCCAGCCGCGATAACGGTCGCGACTACTAACACAGGGATTTGTTGCGATATCAATTGCGAACGTAACACTACCACTAACGTCAGCGGTGTGACGTTGAAATTTAATGAACTTGGACAACTGTTCAAGCTAACTGCGCCAAGAGCCTCTCTCTCTCTCTCTCTCTCTCTTGAAAAAACTCTGTTTCTTAAACTGCTTATAATAATTATAAAGAGCTTTGTATGCGGCTGTCAGCCGTCTCACAATGACAATAAATGGCTAGGAAATTTCCATAGGGTCGACAATAAAGTATACGGTTGTCGCGAGGAAAATTATTTCTCGAGAAATTAAATCTCTTGAATAATTACAATCTGAAAAATTGTTTATATACAAAAACTATTAATTTGATTAAAATTTTTTTTTTATTGAATAAATATTTATTTATTGTAACTTTATGTTTACTTAATACTATTCAAAGAAATATGTATTAAGATTTAAGTAAATTCTTTTTCAGGATATTTTTTAAAGAATCCTATAATACATGTATACATCGAAAACGGTATTTCGTCGCTAGAAATGTGAATTAATTGTGATGTCTATCTGGAGTAACACGCTTCGTTATCGGTGATGTACTGACATATTCACGTCAACAAAAATATATAGATATGCATCAATCTCTAAATTGCGCAGTTGCGCAGCCGAATAAATTACGTTGGCGTTAAACCATCGTCATGAATTTTGCATTCCGTTATAATTACTAACCCAAGCCTCATAATCTTGCTCACGTGGACATCGTGACGCTCGTACTGGATGATTTACTCGACGATATTCGTTATTTTTGCAGCAACACGTGCGTGTCTATTATGCGCAGAGAGATCGATCGAGACGCGACGGTGACGTCGCATTTTGCATCCTCCAGAACTCTTTCGTCGTTTCCAGGAAAAGCACTACGCCCGCGTTATCCTTGCGAATATCGAACCTCGCAAAGGTATGCGCATAATTCCGCACATTCGTTTCTGATTTCGTAACTGATTTCGTAAAGAAGCAATGTACTGAGCACGTGCGCGTCCGCGGAAAAACCCATGCCGGTGTAAACAATCCGAAGCTTGTCCATTGTTTGTGATAATTTAGTCAAGTTATTTATAAAAAATAACAAAAAATATTGCTTTTATGATTATACATTCAAATTATTCATTTTACATGTCCTATGTATGAATTTCTGCACCTTTCTTACTGGAAAAAGTTAAATTTTAATAAATATTTGTTTTTATAATTCTAAATAAATATTTACAAAATGTAAATAATAATATATATATTTCATTGATATAAAAATAATTAATTTGAATTAATTATTATTTTTTATTAATTATTTTATTATTAAATTATTTTATTAAATATTTATTTACAATAAATGAATGTTTGCTTAGTACTATTCGAATATGTATTAAAATTTACATTTTTTTCAGTGTACGTATTTTTATGTTCCATTGTATCTTCTATATTTCACACAACAATATATAATTAATTGATTTTCTACATTTCAATAATAATTATGACGTTATAAAAATTACATAAATACAAGATGGGAAAAAGTAGAAAATTTAGTATAATCGGCGGAGTGATTCCTTAAATAAAAATAAGTTGCAAGAGTGTAGAATAAATTCTTTTTGCCTGAAACGTTATTCTGAGCAATTTCTTTTTTAACGAAATAAAAATTCACCCTGAAATATTTAAGCACTAAGATCCGCTTTGACCCAAAAAAAATAAGGATTATTTCTTTTAATTGAAATTTAATTATTTAACAATTTAACTATTTGTCATATGTTTTTTAACTGTGTCACTCGTAAAATCGCGTGGAAGTTAAATAAACATGATAACGTGTTTACAGTATTTTTCCATAAACCATATCTTAATTGAAGTGCACGTATACTTCGCGATTTTCAAACTTTATTTTCTTGGAAACAACTTCCGACTTAATTTTGTACAAGAAATCACTTTTTCCTTTCGTCTGATTGTATTATATCGTATATAGTTGTATATAGTTTATCCCTATAGCCTGAATAATATAATTTTTTACAACATAGTACAATATAACGATAATTTCATGTATCAATGTCGACGGAAGTAATAAAATGCAATCCTGTTTTTTATTTGCAGTCAAAAAAGGCAACAGCAGCAGCAGCAGCAGCAGCAGCAGCAACAACAACAGCAACAACAGCAACAACAGCAACAACAGCAACAGCAACCGCCACAGTCACAGCTACAGCAGCAGCAACAGCAACAGCAACTCGCCTCCTGGCACAGGACTACTCTCGCCTCCTGACCACCGACCTTGACCTTGACTGCGAGTCCAGCGATTCTGAGAGGCTGAAGGAGAAAAGAAAAGAACCGCGAGATGTACGAGGAACGCCGCGACGCCACTTCTTACGCGGTTTCGGCCACTCGCCGAAGGCTGCTCACGCAGCGAGGCAGAGAAATGCGGATGAAGAAACGCCGGCCGGCGAGGACTTTTCGCGGAATAACCGCTGCTCGACACCCGCAGAAGCCCTTCCCCTTCGCGGTGGTGTAGTCGAAGCGGTCGAATTGATTTCGTTCGTGTATCTTGTTTTACCCCGCCGTTAGTCGCTCGTTATTATACTTATATTTGAAATTATTGCGTGCGTATAAAAAAAATTCTTCTTTTGGAAAATAATAATGGTAATCTTAAAATACCTGTACTTTATTGAGTGTTGAATAATATTGTATTTAAGATTATATTTAAAGCTATGATTATTATATAATTTTTTACGCACGATAATGAAGAATAGAGATAAAAATATGTACGAGCGAGACTGACGGTGTTGTTAAAAGATTAATTACGATACGTAATCTTAGTAAACTCGGTGAACATTCGTAAATTATATAAAGACGTAAATTATGTGATAAAGTCATACGCGAATGTAGGCGATAACCGATTAATAGAGTAGATTAGAGATAATGTATTTTGACTGAGGAACTCGGCAAACTTCTTAGCGAGTTCAAGTCGAAAATATATTTTTCTGTTGGACTTTTTGTACTGACAAAAAGACGTATTCTCATATCTGTGCAGAAACTAATGCCAAGCTGTACTAGGACCAGTCACCAGTATCAAAAAATGTACACATCAAACGGACAATTATGAAGACTTATGCAGCAAGCATATTAACTATAATAAAGTTACAGACCAGAACGCTGATTAATTTGTCATGATGTGCAATTATAGGGGATACAAAGAAAAGATGTCTCTTTGATGTGGACTCTATTAATGTGATGTTTTATAAGACTACACCACTTGCTTCTACGATATAAACTCCGCGGTTTTCTCTCTCATCGTCATAACCCCGTAGAAGACCCTTGACACAAGTGCAATGACATGCGAACGCCGTGATGAGGCTCCTCTGTTTTCGTATTTAATATACTATCTGTTTCATAAGTAAAGCTAAAGTTTATCTGTTACTAATTATTTAGATATGGGTTAAAAAAATTGTGTGAGAGGTAGATCAAGTAATCAGCTTATTTTTCAGGAAGAGATAGAGATTATACAAAAACCTTAATGAATCTCTCTAAGAAAGGATTAATAATAATCAAATTATAGATACAGTTTTATATTTCATTATAGACACAGTTTTATATTTAAAGTTGTATACAATTGTTTTATATTACTTAGTGCAATGTCTTTTGCTTGCTGATTGTTATCGTTCTGGTTGTTATTTTGTACAGTCTGTTACCAACTTACTGTTAATATACTACATGTTCATGTAATATTTTTATTTTTGCTCGTCACGGCGATCGTAACTAGTCTCCCGACCTGGCGTAGTAGAAATTAGTGCGTCACGATTAAATATTTATATCCATGACTTACGAGCCGAGTTTACACAAGCAGCGATATTTTCCATCTGCGCAATTAACGACGATGCATTTTAAGCCTCCGTGCTCCGATAGTTAGACTTTCCGCATTTAATTTCCGTCGTAAAATCTCGTTGCTCTCCGTTGCGTTAAATTTTACGAAACGTCGAATATAACAGCAAACGAGCTATTCTAGAAATCTATCGATGCAATTCTATTTCACGGAAAATTACATTGATATTTATTTTGGTCGGCGTTTTTGTTTCTATTTGCCAATTTAATTCGCAAACATTGTCTTCTCGCTATTGTTTTACGATAAAGCACCTATGAAAGGAAAAAAAAATTCTTAATCGCTTACGGACAATATTTACTTAGATATAAAACAAATATTATGCGCGCTTTTGTGTAACACTTCACACGATAGCGCGACGAAATTTATGATTTTAGAAGCAATCAGAATTTATATCAAAGAACTTAAGATTTATCCGAGAACTTTTTACACGATTGTGTCTTTATACCCTATTTTTATTTCTTTTGTTGTATCACTTCTTTACGTACGATGCGCGATAAGTGGTGATATGGAAAACAATTATTTTAAATGCGGTTTGTCTAGTTTGTTCCGGTTAAAAATATCGCAAACGTTTTAAAAAGGATCAAACTAATTACGACTATTTTACTCACTTATCATTTGTGTACGCACATATGTATACACACGGTTATTTCCATTCGAGCACCGGAAAACCTCAAAGAAAATAATATATCAGAGATGCCATTTCGAAAATAGTCACGCTTTAATATCATGTCAGAGTCGGCCATTTATTACGTAAATGTATAGTTCTTATTTTATACCGTTGCTCGCATTATGGAATGAAATTCAATGTAAACGACGGAAGACTTGCTCATAGAAGGAACGAAATTTTATTGAAATTTCTAAAAATTTAGCTAAATACAGATTTAAAAATAATTTTGTTGGACCATAAAATAATTATGTAGGAAACTTAAATATAATGAGTATATAATGTTGCAAAAAGTTTCTAGCAACCAGTTTATTTTGATAGTCCAACAAAATTACTTTCAGATTTGTATTCAGTTAAATTTTTAGATATACTTCAGTAAAAAACCGTTCTTTTCATTTTCTTCCGCTGTTGCTGGTGTAAACTCGGCCACCACATCGAAAAATTGAGCGCATTGATCCTTTGCAATTCGACAGATATACTATACAACGATTCGTCTTTCGCAAAAAAAAATATCAATAATTTTTGACAGATCGTTTAATTTTTATATGTTACGAACGTATGTAATATGTATCTTATAATGTATTTCCCATGTTATATAATTCCCACAAAAATATCTGAGAAGGCAAGGATTGAAGCGCACGGATAAAAAAACAAAAAAAGAAAAGAAAAAAAAAACAAAATGCTTATATAGCGTGAAATACGTGACGAGAATAGGTGCTATTTGATAGTTAAAAAAGCGAACGCGGGGGACGAAAGATAGCGAAGAAGGCCCACGACGAAAGCGTGTAGGTAGTTCATTTATAGGTAGAGAAAAGGTATTTTATACGCGATGTATTATACACGCGCGTCCAAACAATGTGCCCATGTGCACGTTGATATATATGAATACACGAAACACCATTGCGCGCGATACCGATTACCGTTTTGTCGGAGTTGAAATCCGATTATACTCAACATCGCGACGAAGAGAATTCCTCGCAGTGAGTCGTCGCAGCATTTGGCGCAGTTCTCATGCTGGATTTATGCGTCTCCGACGTGGATTAGTGTTTGTCAACGAAATTCCGTGGTCCCATTCGTGAAACATGTATCCCACGACACCGTAAATATTTTGAATTTCGAGTCAGTTTAAATAAACCACGCGATATCGCATAATTGAGCAATGAGGAACATCCAAATAAGTCAATTATGAAATGGAACGTAAAGCCGAGAATAACATCAGATATTATATTTCATAATATCTTTTTTATCTCAAAATTAAGTCACTTCAAATATTTGATGCAATAATGTTTGTGTTACGAAAATACGACTATACTCTGTTCAACGAGAGAAATGACCTCGGATCGAACGAAAACTCCGTTTTGCGCAGGTCTTCACAGCATTGTACTACAGTTTGCAAATATCTCGTACCAGCGGATGTCATCACAGTATTAGATTACTTGGACTTTATTTATTTATTTCGTTATAGTCCGATGTATCGCCTCCTATGCGCAGACTGAAATCATTCTCTCGTTGAACAGAGTATACGTACGATGTAATGATAAAAATTGCTTTGGAAACCTCGGTTCGAATTTCAGTTCTGAAATGAAACGCATCAACCGATCCATCTAACATTTAATACAGCGTGGGATACATGGCTCACACGATCGTGGAGAAAATTCTCTTTCTCTGACTATATATCTGCCAAAGCTACGATCCAGAGAGAGTGATCAGAGAATTGTCAACTATTTAATTATGCGAGTCAATAACTATAAGCATCGGTAATTGAATTAATTACACACGCGCGCGCGTCCTC